TCCAACCCTCTTCAAAAAGAAAATAAGAGCACCTTGAAAAATGTGAGTCCATGATCTTTTGTTTTTGAGAGTCTCTTCGTCCACGATTCATTTGTCCTCTAATCACTATTTGTCATGATGTCGACTCGAGACTAGCGTTCTCGCCGAAGAAGCTATGAGATGACTTGTGCATCGGTTGACCTCGTAAGCTGCTAAATGATCTAGAAAATCCTCTATCAACGATCAAGGGTGCGTGTTGCTATAGAGTTCTGGATAGTTGCATTGGTTTGAGTTAGGTTTGCTTGGGGACAAGCAAACGGTTAAGTGTGGGTGGATTTGATGACTCGATATTTGCACATGTTTTCCCCTTTGTTTCTTGATCGTTTGAGCTTTAATTATCGCGTCTTTGGCCTATTTTACGCTAGGTTGTGTTCCTTTGTCACATTTCAGGTCCTAGCACATAAAGTGAAGCATAGGCGCAAGTTTCAAGTCAATCAGAGATCAATTGGCGATTCGGGAGAAGAAACTCGGGCATGACCTGAAGAAGAATGGATTTCTACCTCACTTTATGGACAAATAATCATGCAATCTTGTCATGAAAAGAAAGAGGACAAGACTACGAGCGTCTGGGATCAAACGGCGACTGATTCGAAGTCCGGACGAGGGAGAAACGAAGCATTGAATATAGGGGAACAGGTTCGGCAGTAAAAACACGGGCGCGCCTAAATCAAAACACTGCCGTGTCCATATTTAGGCACGACCGTATTTTGGCAGACGCGCGCGGGCGTGTTTTTAACACTAGGCAAAACACGGGCGGGCAAAACCAAAGCACAGCCGTGCCCTCTACCGTGTTTTGCCCAGAATCGGGTTTTTTAACCCAAATTCGAGCCAAAGGAGAGGGAGAGCTGGGTTTTGGATCCCAAACACCCAAGGGACGAACCAAAGAGAGAGAGGGCGATTTGAGGGCATTCTAAGAGTGGAATTGGAGGATTTCTTCGCCTTATGAAACAACTTAGACTAAAGTTTGTTTTTGGTAAACAAAAATTTATATTTTCAATATAGGATTCTAAAATTTGTGAAAATTCAGCCTATTGATCGTCATCATCATATATGTTGATTTTTATAGTTAGAGTACTATTGAATGGATTCGAACTTGAGACCGCCAAGTTCAAGACTATAATCTATAATCTCTTATTCGCAAAATAGCGAAAAATCTTTAGAGACCAAAGAATTACCGTCGGTAATACCCTCATTATACATGCACCATTATTTTATTTATTACTTTCACATCATAGTATTACTTAATTTTACTTAGCCCAATCGACTTCGTCTAAAAAAAACAATAAAGGAGCAATTTACAAAAGTTTTGGATATATCATCATGTGTAAGGTTGGGTAGGTTAAGGTTACAAACGGGAGATTGTATAGACTAAAGACCAGATTAAATATAAATGACATTTAAAGTGAATCAACTTGTATTGAAGGGTTATTCAAAACCCGCAAACATATACTTACTAAGTCAAGGTCGGACCAGACTGAACAAAATCAAATAGAATTTTAATTATCATATTATCAATCTTCTTCATGTGATCTAATTCTAAATTTGATCAAACGTTAAACCGAGTCGTGTTGTAGATATTGTTCACGTATACTAATTCTTGCAACAGAAGTAACAAATAAGATCATGAAATCATGCAAATACACATGCAAGCGTCCTAGCCGATAGAATTCACTATCTCTCCTTAAAGAATCTTATTCCCCTCTAGTACCCAAGGTTATGGAATGATTCCTCCCAAGATAGAAAGGACGTACCTTTTCCGGCGTAGCGGTACCTCAAACCCCGGAACCCATCGAACGCAGTGAACCGGCGAGAACCACACTTGACTCGATTTTCTCTTTAAAAAGAATGCAGAATTCTAGTTTGGGATTTTGGCAGAATTTTGGTACCAGAAAAATCCATGTAAAAACCATAGGGGTTAGGTGCTATTTATAGAGAATGAAGGGGTGCACGTGAAGGGATGTGACCCTTCGGGTGGATGATTACACCCCAACCAACACATTGGTTCATTTCAAAATTATGAACCATTGCATCGGTTCACCCATGGTAGTTGGACCGGTTGGTTCACTCCAACCGCCATATTGGTTCGGTTCAAATCAATTTGGTCCGGTTGGTTACACAAACCAATTTGACCAATTATCAAAAGATTTCATCAAATCAATTGACGGAATCCAAGGCCTCCTTCCCATATAACCAATATGGTATTTCATGAGTTTCTCTTGACTCATTCCCCTGTCATTTCCATTCACACCATTAAAAATCCCAACAAGTCGTATATCAAACCAAGTTTTTCTAGCTTTTTGACAAATGTCAAAACTCTTAGGGGTCGTTTGGATCAAGTTTTTAAAACGAGGGATTTAAAGCCTAAATCTCTCATTAAAAACCCTGGAAATTTTGGGTGTGGGATTTAGCTCAAATTTTTTTTCCAGTGATTATTTAGCTCAAATTCTATGTTTGGGAATGGACAGAGATTTAACCCAATTTAGCCCAATTACAACTTTATCCCTCCTTTCTTCTTCTTCTTCGTTCCTTCTTCTTCTTCGTTCCTTCTTCATCTTATCCTCTCCGCTGGGCTCCAATGAAATTGAGAGCTCGCGAGAGACAGCGAGATTGAGTCTCATGTCTCGACTGATCTTCCTATTCTTCCGTTCTACTTCCTATGTTCTCCAAACAAGAACCCAACTGAAGATTCATCCGCCTAGCTGCAAAGGGGGAAATAGCAGCACAGGACGCCAAATCGCCGTCACCGACACCAAATCACAAGCCCTTAACTTTTGGGGATTGGGGAAGAGAGAAGCATTGCCCACCAGAAACCCATAACCAGCTGTGCTCGATAGCCCTCCGTTTGCTTGGACGAAGAAGAGAGGAAGTTGAACCCGTTGTCGGTCATATCCCGCGCCTTCGCTTCTTTTCTCTGCCTGCCAATTTGCCCCATCTGGGGTCCGATCGAAGGACGGAAACTGGTGACAAGCTATGAACCCGCCTCCAATCGACAGGTCCAGATGCAGCCGATGAAAAGCCATGAATCCGCTTCAATAGCCGCTCAATCCCAGCTTCAATTGCCACCAATTCGTAAACCTAGTTTTGGGGCGAGATTGGAGAAGCTCAGTGGACAGTAACTCATTCGACGGGGAAGATGGTAGGTGGACGATACTGGCGGGGTAAGTCTTGGACGGAGGAAGAGTAGTTGGCGGAGGAGAAAGAAGGAAGGTTGCTTGTGGAAAAGAGAAAGATGGAATAAGGAAATTAGTTAGGGGTAAGGGCTGGAAAAAAATAAACAAAAATGAGAGATTTAGAAATAGTTTATCCCCATAAGCTATTTTAGAAACCAACGTTTGAGGGTTTTTAAAAGGGTAAATACAATTTAATATCCAAACCTTTCATTTTAAACAATATAATAACCAAACCTTTTCGAAAACAATCTAATATCCAAATCGTCAACTTTCCGTTCATTTGACCGTTAGTTGACACTTCAAAAAAGCTTTGTTTAGGAGAAATTGTCACAATACAACTTTGTTTTTTTTGTTTTGGCATTGCAGATGACTAAATATTTAGATATTCTATACCATCATGGTGGAGTCATGGACTTCTCGGGTTTGGAACTACAATATGTTGGTGGTTTTTCAGAGAAGATATCGATGGATATTGATGAAGTGTCGTACTTCGAACTTTTTTGAAGTGTCAACTAACGATCAAACAGACAGAAAGTTGACGATTTGGATATTAGATTGTTTTCGAAAAGGTTTGGCTATTATATTGTTTAAAATGAAAGGTTTGGATATTAAATTGTATTTACCCTTTTTAAAATTACTAATTGTAAAAATCCTCACATCTTTCAAACGCATGATTGTTTAAAATCCTGCAAAATGAGCGATTTTAATTAAAATCTCTCATTAAAAACACTCATTCAAACGGTCCCTTAAGTTCACGTGTTCCCTCAAGTTACAAGGAAACAAAAATAGTAGTTAGCTACTTAGCTTTTTATACACTTAACTTTCTGACCGTTTGACATGGATGGATCCCCAAATTTGCCCACCATTTCTCCACTCCAAAAAATGAGTTCTCGGTACAAAAAGAGAGTACATAGAGTGAACTAATACCATTCATGAGTATATGACCCAATAGTATAGACCTAATTTTATCAAGAGTTTGATTCCTGATTCATGAGTAATTAATTATGTATTTTGAATCATCTATTATCGTAACTAACCAAACTATTACGATGATCAGAAAAGTGGTCCTCATTGAATCTTGCTTATTATTCTCATCCTCTTATTTTAACACAAAGATCCCATGTACTCTTACCCAAAAAAAAAAAAGATCTCATATATTACCAAGGAACAACTAGCTTCCATACCTATCTCCCGTAGAGCTAACAGCATATCAACCTATGACTAGTAGACCCATACCAAGATCCAACAGTATACTTTAGCATTTACAGATCTCTTTCGTTATTCTATTTTTCCGGGTTACTCACCGTACAGATCAGATTTTATGCCATTTAATTTAAATAAGGTTAAAGATCCATACCCGGCTGGGAAAGGAAAAGGGTATAGGCAGTTGACTTAGTGAACTGAGTTTAAGTGGATTCAGTAGATCATGCAGATTAAGCCATTATTAAGTTACATAGGTACAAGCTCCCTCTAGAGTCAAGAACAAAAATCAAAAGCATTACATCCAACAGGAAACAAAAGAAAGGGTCTTTTATGCTATCAAATGGGCTACCCGATTATTTTGTCTGCCAACAAACTGGACCTCTAACTACGAATAAAGCTTCAAACAATCCCTAATTTCCTCTAGCACTGCTCCACCTTTACAATCCTGCGTAGATCTCGAATTAATCTTGTCAATCATCGCCTTAGTACATCTAGAATCCATGCATGATCAAGACCGGATTGAACACACCACCTAATCGCCTCCCTCGGTGTCACTAGCTAAGCAGTCCTCCACCAAAGCATAACAACAAAACGCAAAGAGGACAAAAAAGGGCTAGAAAAAAAGATGTTTAGCTTTGCCATTCTTCCAAGTTCTCTTTTTTTGTTTCATCTTTCTGCAAATAAAAGCTACATACAACGGCACTCTTTGAAAACTCTCCACCTCGAAAATAGGTTGCATCTTTTCTTCTTACCCATCTATATTTTACAATATATCTTCTCAACCTATACAAAAACACAAAAAAGAACCCCATTCCCCACCTAAGTTTCCCCCTGACTGAGTTCTATTGGAGATCAAGAGGCAAAAACACAGAACAGAGGGGGAAAAGGGTTGAGTGAAGAGCAAGCAACCATCACCAGGCCTCATTTCAGTACTTGTTTCATTTGTTTGATTGGCAAAAAAGTATTGCGCATATAGATTTTTCTATATATATAAGTCCTGGTGTTAAAGTTTTTTTTATCAGGGATGATTACGAAGTAGATGATGTGGGTACACTGAGCTACTACTAGTGCTTGCATGCTGCCCGCCAAAACTCATAGCTGGATGAAGCAGCTCTGCCTGCGGGAAAGAGCCATTGGACGGCACGTCCAGTAGCAGGTCTTGATCAGAGCTCTCGTCGACGAAATGGAGGGAGTCCAGCACGAAGGATCCACCTCCCTCGGTAGGCAACGCGAATAGACTCTTAGGGCTGAAGCATGATGCATCGTTGTCCATGATTTCCCTACTAGTGTTCTCATAACCTGCCTTGGTTAAACTCCTTTTCGGGCTCATCATCATCTTCACCTCTGAAAAAGAAAACATGATTTAAAGCACTCAGAAGATCATGATATAGAAGAAATACTGGCATTGATGTAAATTTGGGTCTTTTGAAGGGGTAACTGGATGATGGGATTGGACAATTTCAGTATTTCACCCCGTCACTCACGGAATTTACATTCCAGCCAGTGGTGCCATTGAATTCTGTTCAATCAGCCTTAAAATGACCAACCAGATTATGGAATGCCTAACATTTGAATCATTCCAAAGAAATGTAGATGACATTCATGGCCAAATTCCACCGTCCAAACAACCCCATAGGCATCTAATCACGATAGAGCACTCTTAAACAAGCATCATACTGTCAGCAGTCAATCTAACAAGGATGGTAGCTGACCTGGGATCTTCGAGCTCTCACGTGGTCTTTTGCCTGTAGTAGAAAAGTTTGATGCCACATTAGGTCCCTGTACAGCAGGAAACTTTCCAGGGCTGTTTTTGCATTTCTATACCAAGAAAAAGGCACAATGGAGCTCAGTATCATATCATTGTCAAATGAATCATATAACAAATGCTCGTGAATCCAATGAATCAGAGTTCAGACCTTGAGTAGATGACAGTGCTCAACCCATTTGGACTTTGAGAGGTTGCATAAAGCAAGTCTCTTGAGAGTTTTACAATCTTCAGTCTTTACCCCTGAGAAGGTTAGATCAAAGACCCCTTCTGCTAGAAGTTGCTGATAGGAAGACAAGTTCTCCTTGAACTGAGGGCTATCAAACATGCTTCTGATGCTGCTAGATGTCAACAAAAAGTCAATACTAAGCCATAACTACGCTTTCTGATTCCATGTAAAATCAAAGCAATGGTGTATTACAGTCAGCATAGTACAAAGACTAACCTGTCATGAAGTTTGCCAGTATCGGGTGCAGGCAGAAATTTGAGCAACTGCTGCTGCTCTTCGCTCGTCAAGTGTTTTGAAAACTCCTCGAAGTTAAGGACACACTGTTTGTAAAATGAACAGGCATTGTCAGACACACTGGAAATCAACGACTCAAGTAAAAGAGAATAATGTTCTGATTACATCTTTGTGCAAGTTAAGTTGATTGTTTGACAATAGTTAAGTATACAAGGACTGCAACCGAAGTCAAAATGGAATAACTTACTGAGGTGAATCATTCATACGATTGAAATTAAGCACAATAACAGTGAAAATTTGTGAGAGCCCCTATGATCTTAGGAGGATGTTTAGAAAGAGGTCATCTTCTTGGTCGGAAAAGAAAAACATATGTATACCTTCAAATAAGGGGATATTTCCTAGCATCTCAGGAGAAAAAAGAAATGTTAACTTACATTCAGATCAATATTACACAGGGGTGAGTTATGATGTCCAAGAATTTGCACTTTCTCATGCTGAGACTTGTCCCTGAAATTCAATAATAGAAGCATGCCAGTAAGCTTCGGAACTGCTGATCCTGATTTCTTCTGTTCCTGAAGTTATTCACAACTACAGCATGATGCAGATGTACCTATTAAGCTGTTCCTGCTGTAGCATTCCTTGTCCCTGAAGGTACTCAGGTTTCTCAATCACAGGATCAAGAGTCTTGATGTACTTGTTGTTTCCATTATACGCATGACTAAAATTAGCGGGGTGGGAATAAGCTTCATTTGCTGGGTAGCACTTGTTCTCAACCGAAAGTGAGCTAGCCTCGGACTCTTCATCTCGAGCTATTGCACTAGGATGCCGGATGAGAACACTTCCATGTCCTATCTCAACAGAAACCATTGGAGTTTCACTCTCAAAAAGCAATTCCTCTTCAGACGTACCAGAAAAGCAAGAAGACTGCTGTTCATGCAAGATGGTGTAAAGATCTTTAGTAAGCTTCTCGACTGGGGATTGTTTTGGACGATTCACGCATGTTCTCTTTCTAGAAGGTACCATTGAGTCCCAGACAACTGTTTGAGATGGACCTGACAAAAAACATGGTGTGAAAATTTGCATAAAATGAGAAATCAATTAGGAAATTTAGTAGAACAAAAACTTGCACATAAGACCATGACATTGAAATGATCACTTCCTTATTACTCTTATCTTGAACCAACTCGAGTATCCATTTTCCCCAATACCAATATACACGAAACATTTTGACCAGCAGTTCACAATAACAAATAGCATTTTCTGCAGTTCATTAAGAATTTAAGATGAATATTAGTGAAGCATGTGAAGGAAGGTCTTACCTGTCAATTCACTTGCATCCATGCTGCCAAATTGAGCACAGCTCTCAGAATTAGATATGGCTGATCCTGAACTCGATCTATTACTTACATCTTCATCCATAACATTCTGGCTACTCTGCACATAATCAGAGGCCATTCTTCCAACCACCCCGGCATCAAGGTTTGGCTTTCTTTTGACAAGTTTTATCTCTTTGTTTCTATTAAGAGATATGTTCTTCAGTCTGGCAACTCTCTGATCATCATAATCATCAGGGTCTGCCCGGGAGTGAAGAGGTGTATAGTTTGCGAGTGTTCCCTTTGTCCTCCATCTAGAACCACAAGCATTGCACAACACCGGCTTTTCAAGGGGTCCATTGCGCCAAAGTGGTGTGCCTAATCCCCAAAAAGAAAATCAAATACACAAGTTTAATACATGAAATAAAAAGGAATTATTTTAGAAACCATATGGACATTGATCCAACAAGCATTTTATTCTCCCTCATAAAATGCCAAATATGAATGACTGAAGAATAATTCATTGAGCTGATGAATGCGAAATTACAAGAATTAGCAGCTCAAATTGTAGCAAACAGATACAACAAAAATTGAATGTCTTAGCTAGCAATGTAGCATCCCTTAGCTGGTCCTAAACACGAGCAACACGAGCCTATACCAGTAATACAGCAATCAAAAACTCAATGTGAAAGCTCCTAATGAGCAGACCAAAGAAGGGGATCAGTGAGCTCGCAAGATAGCCATGAGGAAAAATCAACAGATTGTTTAAGAATTTCTGAAACTGGGAAGAAGCATGTGAAGATTATCAAACGATTTCTTAAACAAAGTTCATTTATGCTAAGAAGCGTAGGAGAATAGGTCCCTACAAAATAACATTTTGATCGAATGACAGAACTTAGCTAAGCACCATGCTTAACTAATCGAAGGCATTCGTTTATCAGTAACGAAGGGGTTCAACCAAAGGTAAAAGAAGCTAGACATTGCAACAAAACTCTTGCCCTCCAGCAGCTCAACATTGTTTCATATCACTGCAAGTTGGTCCCTGGATACCACATTAGTTTCAACTTTCAAACAACTAATGGACCAAGGTCCCTGCAATGACAGAACAAAATGCTTGGAGGAGACAGCTCAAAGGAGGAAAGTTTTTGAAGAACTCATCAGAAAGCTAGCAGAGGCCACCAAGGAATCACATTTCCTCCACCGAATGAATGCATTTTGAAACCATTATAGTTTGAGTGGTTCTGTTGAAGTTTACTTTGAAACAGGACCCAGAAAACATCATTCCATCAAATCAGAAACTCACTGCTGGCCAAGAACAGCAGACCCCAAAAACCAAAGGGTTTCACAAATCCAACAAGGAACCCAGAAACCCACTCGTCTGATCATTTTCTGAGGAAAATAAGAATACTGGTACATCAGCAAACAAAGAGAGAGAAAGAGAGAGCAGATAAACAACAATACAGCACACTCCATTTCATTTCATCGTGTCATTTGTTGTCCACCCCCAGCTCTTCAATTATTCATATTTGGCATTCATCAGGTCAATGAATTATTCTTCGTTTCTTTCTTAACAGGCGAAAATTGATTAGATAGCAATATTAATTTGAAGATACTGTAAGCAATTCGTCAATCCAATTTCCCCACTCCATTTTCATAACCAAGAACTCACTTGTAACTCCACAGTGATAGCAGGGCCCTTGCTTCCCCATAAGTCACTCTCTACCTCACTTTCTCCTCCTTCCCTCTCTCTCTCTCTCTCTCTCTCTCTCTTCTCGAAGGAAGTAATTCCAACAGAAAACCAATTCACAGGAAAACCCAAATTATCGAAACTTCCCCAGAATTCTGCAAAACAAAAAGAAATTGTTGTGTTGTTTTGGAAGCCTGAATATGGGCAGTACAAGGCAGCAGTGGGCAAAAAGACGGCTTTTTTTCTTCTTGAAAGCGGAACCCAGAAGAGTTTTTTCCCCGGAGAGGAGTTGGTGAAGCAGAATAAAAACTTTAACCCAGAAAAGACGAAGGAGCAAACATTGAAATGGTACCCAAATACAGGAAACAAACACCCGGCAAGAAGAAGAAGCAAATATGAAATGCAAAAAGGAGAATTTTTATGGGTATTATCAACTGGGAATCTGTACACCGCAATGAACAAGAGAAGAAAAGACCATGTAGAGGAATCTCTAATAAATGGCTGTGAAAAAAGATGGAAGGTGAAATGTGAGGGGGAGAGAGGAGATGGACAACTGAGAGGAAGAGGAGGAGGAGAAGAAAAAGAAGTGTATTGTATTGTATAAGAAGTAAATGTTGGGGCTTTCTTTGCCTTTTGCTTTGTTTCTCCTCTCCTCTCCTCTCCTCTCCTTCTCTTTTCTTCTTCTTGTGTGGTGGTTTTAAGAGTGGGTTTGGGATTAGCACTTGAATGTGTCTATTGAAAGCTTTTTTTGTTCATTAATTTTCCACTCTTTTGTTGAGAAATGGTGTGATTTAATTTGGTTCATAACCAAGTGTCCAAGTCAAAAATGAGAAAAATATATCCATTGGAACTATAAAAATGAGTGTGCAATTAAATTTGATTATGTCTGATTTAATTATAAATCTTCGTTACTCCATTTTCTCATTAATAGAATAAAAATAAAACATTAAAAATTTAATTTTGATGTTTTAAGGAATTAGTCTAGTGATTATATGAGTTCACCACGTCTTTGATTTCAATGTTGGGACCAACAACCATCTAAAACAACATGCCTCAAATTTCATATTGATCAATTGATGTGAAATCCATTCAATTAGATACGAGTCGAATTATAATTCAGCCTTACACTTTTAATTTTACTATTTCTTTGTAAGTTATCCATAAACTTTTTCAATTCAATATAAACTGAGGTGGGTTGGAGATATGAATATCATTATTATAAGTGTTATTGCAATTAATTAATTGTTATTGCATTTTTTTGGGAATGTTGACTGTAGACTTTTCTTTCCCCTCTTGCCCCTCTCAATGGGTTCTTGTTGACATTTTTTTTCCTCAAACAAGGAAAGCTCATAAACACAGACTTTCTTGGGCAAATATGGAATCATTATTGCAAGTAAGAAAAAGGCCACAATTTTCCCATAAAATTAAAAGGAAATAAGAACATGGGGAGCAAAATGTAATAAGTGGATATCAAAACCAAAGTAATAAAAATAGATAAATAAAGCTTTCTCCCAACTAGAAAAATAGGAAGGATAGCCATGACCTTAGAACAACCAAAAAAGGGAGAAGGAAACAAGGAGGTGAGGGCTTGTTTGGCTTGGCTGCTTTCTTCTCTTCTCTTTTCTTCATTTCCATTTTATTTTTATTGCTACAATGAAATAAATACTTGTTTTATAGCCTTATGTAAGTGATGACATGATGATGTGTTTGATAAGTATTATTAACTTGGGGTTTTGGGGTTATTTTCTTCCTACAACACACATTAATTAAATAATAATAGAATGGCCCCAAAAGGAAAACAGATTAGATATATTAAAAGAGGCATGTACATGGATGGACATGGTCACCTCCCACTCTCTCACCACCACACCATTGGATGCACTTCAAACAGGATTTGGCCATGGCCCTACCAAAATACAATTTCTTTTAGTTTAGTTTCTTACAATTGAAGTACTTGGTGATGTAATGTGGCAATGGTGTTAAAGTTTAATTACTTTGCTGGGCATATGATTGATTTCAACCCTAGGTAAAACAAGCCTTCTTGTGTCTTAGGTCCTTGGTTTTACACATACGAGAAGTAGAAAACTTTGTTAATTTTCCACCACATTTGTTTTTGACATACCATATACCATACACTTTTATGAAAATGGCAGAAATCTCTCTCTCTATATATGTTTTCTAGGTAATGATCTTTCATGTTGTTCAACACTAATGTGGTAGTTTTGAAGGTTTTGGCATGCCTTGAGAAATAAAACTTTTTTAGCCTGTGTAGAAGCCTGCCTTCAACATGCCTTTGAGCCATAAAGTCACCCGAGTCAATGGTGTGTCAATTGATGTTATTAGTGTTTTACTCTTGTAGCATGCATCTCATATGGTTTTACCAATCCTGAATCTTAATTAAAATACTTGGTTTTCAGTAAATTTGATGTCCTACCTATTAGGGCATATATACTCACATATATACGTTACTTGATTGCTTGTAATGTATGTTTTCAAGGTAACAACTTTTCATAGTGTTCATTGTTCAACACTCATTTGAGGTAGAGAGCCACCCATAGTTATGTGGTATGTGGAGGATTTTGGCATGGCTTCGGGTAGAAAGCATTCTTAGCATTCAACATGTTGTTTACGTAGAAGCTTCTGTACTCTGTAGCACACCTTTAAGCGATAAAGTCTCTCAGATTAACGGTGTTTCATTTGATGTTATTAGCATTCTACACATGCATCACACATATAAGTTTGTTTATTTAAATAAACTAGATCTCATGCCAAATAAAACATATCCGCATGTATATGTTACTTGATTCAAAACAATCGATAGAAAGGATATTTGTTATCAAAATATGAATATAGAGTGACGTAACACAACCCAACTAGTCACACTCCTTTATGGCCAAGCAAGCATCCAACCTCAACGAACGAAGTAGTAAGTAACTAAGTATAAGCTCATACCAACCAAATTACTTGTTTTGGCAAATACTTTAGATGTTATAGAGAGACTCTTGGCAAGGAGGAAGTTAATGGAGAGGGGTAAAAAAGGCCATTCAAAGAGTTTGTGTTCATCCTCAATCCTCATGCCCCCCAATTTCACCCTTTGTTAAAATGATAACATACCTAGCATAGTGGGTAGAGCATGAACTTGATGCACCCTTTTTCCTATCCTTCTAACCCGAAAGGCTAAAGCAATGGGATGGCCGTAGATAACGAATTGGAAGAATGGCAAGAAAAAGAAAACAGGGAAGTAAGGCGCGAGAAAAATACAAGAATAGATAAAAGTATCGATGCTATAAAGTATTGTAAAATTTATCTATAATAACATTATTTTTAAGACAAATAATTCGAATAATCAGTAGATGATTTAAAAATAAATTTTAGAAATTTGTTACATGCTCTATCAAAATGAACTAACAGGTTTGAAACTTGTATAGATCTGTCATATCATGTGGTTCAATCAACCGTTCATATGAGGGGTGTTATAATTTAAAAAAAGATGTGATACTATATCAACAACCAGTTGGTCTCTGTAACTCGAGTTACAGATGGAAAGGTTAAAAGATTAATTTTATATCATTTCATCCTATTATACAGATAATGGTTCGGTCTCATTAGAAATATGACTAAAATTGAATAAAAACACATTAAATATTAAACCCCGAACCAAATTTTGATGATATTTGATTTTTTTTTTCTTTCTAAAGATCCAATAGAATCGAATGCTACCAAAATTCTTAAAGTTCGAGAATCAAAATAGAATTGAATTATACATGGATCTAATTTGATTCATTATAACGACAATTCACACTTAATTCGGAATTAGTGTAAACAGAACCGCTATCCAACCCTTCCAATTCTAAATGGAGCTTTCTTTCCATAACATCAATCACATAAACTCACCTTGGCATTTCAATTGGGCACTTTGTTCTTTAAATTAAATCCAACCGATTTTGACCCTCAACCCAACTTTATTATACACAGAAAATGATGATGAAATGAAGCCATGCCCTCATCAGATCCAACGGTTCATAATAAATCAGATTGATTCTTTTTGGACTTTGCCAAAAGACAGGTCAATAATCCAATCCAAGTCATGGTGTACTGTATAGTAATAGTGTTACTACCTCCCTTCTATTTTCTTCTATTTTTTGTTTTGTTTTATTAATTAATATTGTGCACACTGTTTCTTCTTCTTCTTCACATTGACCACTCATTTTTATTCCATTTTACTAAATCTATTTACCAATAATTGTTACTGTTATTTGTTTTTTTTTCTTATTTTTATATTGTTTTGTTCCCATTCATCTAAAATACCTCCAACCTCTCCGATTAGTCTAAAAAATATCACAAAAACAAAATAAAGTGATTAACAAGATTATCCTTTTACCAAAAGATATGATTTCAATGGTCCTGTAAATTGTATATCAACTGTGTTCTTGTTTATTATTGGATACATAGAATGTACTATATATTGTTGTTAACAAGACGGGCCGACTCAAAGAGGTAGATCGTACGAGATTGAATGGTACAGGAAGATTTGGAGGGATCCTCTTCTTGGTGAATTAAGAGAGTCTTGTAAAGGGCAAGAGTTAGACTTTAATTTAGACTCCGCTCCATGAATTAGACTTTAATTATATTTCTCAACTCGCCTAGCGAATGAAACTTGTGTTGAGGCATTTATAAAATGTCGTATAATTCGATACACTAGAATTTGATAGATAAATTTTCTACTGCGAATAACTTTATTAAATATGAAAAATAACATGAGTGAATGGTAGTAGTTTGATTATAAAATGTGAACTTCATTCTTAGATAACCATTGAACTACCTAATTAGGTGGAAACACTTAATTGACCAACAAATGGTGTTGGAACAGGAGACAACCTTCCTATGGGAAGAAAGAGAGAGAGAGAAATGAATAGTGAGTGCCTGAGTGGGACAACAAGAAGAAAAGAAGTCTTTATTTCTTTCAACCTCATCTCAAGAAGGACTTCCTTTAATATTCAAGAGGCTGCTTTTCTCGATGATGAAACTTTCATACTAAGGTTTGGCCTTTGGCATGTTTGAAGAAAACTTGAGATTTCTTCTGCTCAAACCATTGAACTAATGGCTTTAGTTCTCTTTGAGTTATTGTCATTGATGGTATTAATTTTTTCGTGTTTTGCAACGCAGACTATAGTCGAAGCCGAGATCTAGAGTAAGAAGAGATATAAAAAAAAAATTGTAGCCGCTTCTCAAAATTGAACCTAAATATTGGAAGAAGAGGGCTTATATTTCTTATTGTGCCATGTTTTAACGCTATCTTATAACAAATTAATATACACTCTACAACCTCAGATTGAATATTAAAAGAGGAAGTTGCAGCCTCTCCATAACTAAATAGAAATTTTCCTACAATATAACATATAATACAATACCAGCCACATCAACATAATAGATAATAATAAATAAAGTACTATGAACATAACCAAATCTCTTAAACCACATTGATTGGGAACACAAAGCCACCAACTGGGTCAACTATACTTGGGCTTAATGTACACCCGAGCCTATCGCAAACTTATCCAACCATTGCAAGAACATCACAAAGACAAAACCACATCAAAAGTTTCAAACAAGCCCAGAGTAATCAGGCCTTACTTGGGCTTCATTCTCTTTCCTACAGGCCAAACCTTGGGCCCCAGCCTTTCCCGGTCTGTTTTTATTTGTCTCAAACGTCACAAATTTCCCCTTTTAAATGTTTCCGCGTCAAACAAGGACACTCCATTTTCTCGTCCCACAGTTCGTTTCCTAGCTGTTCCCTACTTCTGGTCAATTTGCTTCCAGAGCTCAACAATGGCTGAATCAAAGATCGCTTCTTTCTCCAGCGTAAGTTCGTCTTCCCCGAACCCACAAAGTTTTTCCCCAGAAACCTACCATTTCTCTCTCTCGTTTCGAATACAATTGTCATCGGAATTAGACTGAAAACCCTAGCGAGCATCTCTGGGTATTGGGGGGTTCTGCAGCATTTCCTGTGTAGTTTCAGAGTTCTCTGAAATCTGGGAATTCTTCAAATATGGTAGTCAGTTTCGACCACTGTGGCGGATATCAGCGATCAGAGCTCGACTTCCGGAATTCTGGTGTGCTGAGCACTAAGATCAAATTTAGGCCTTTCTTTCTGGGTGTCGATTTTTGATTTGGTGAAAACTGATGATTTGGATCACGGTATCTTGAAATGAATCCTACGGAAAAGGGAATGGTACGGGCTTGATAGATTCCTACAACGCCATTCGAGTTTGTTGGAAATGCTGTGGTAACTGGGATTATATGTTCTTTATGCCTAGAACTTGGGATGCTCGTCAATTTTCATGCATTCTATATGTATAAGATATCTTTGCGTTCTTCGGAACCGGGAATGAAACCTGCTATGAACTGCGTTACTGGATCAATTTATTCAAGTAGTGAGATGCTCAATGCATCTTTGCATGGCTCATCATAAGAGTGAGCTACGATTTTGTGGTGGTACTTCATACCGGTTTGTTTGATGAGCAGTCTGCATTGCATTGTTAAGTTTATCAACAGTAGAGCTCTGCCTCCTTTCAGTTGTATTGTATCTTTTCCAGATAGATGTCTCTTGTAGGGTTCATGATGTGAAACTGATGAGTCTTTTTGGTTGACCACTGTTTAACCATTCAAATAGCAGGGAAGCCTATGAATAGAGCAGCAGACTAGCAGAGTAAAGTTTTGGCAGCAATCTAGCAATGGACTCTGCTTCTCACACAACAGAAGCCTCTGATCTCCTCACTCAGGGGCCCATCCAGAACCATCTCATAGCTCTGCAACAGAATCTGGAGCAGTCACTTGTTGACCGTGAGCAGCATTTCAAGCAACTGGCTGCTGAAATTGAGGCGAGGGCGAAAGCAGCAGCCGAGAAAGTGGCCTCCGGTGCTGCTGAGCTGCGGAAGGTTTTGGGAGTCGAGGACGTGACACCTGCTGGTACTCACTTTGGGAGGTATTAATCACATTAACTTCTTTATCATCATTTCTTCCTCCCCAGTAGGGAGGGATAGATGTCTGAATCGCCTGTTAAGCCCCGCATCGTATGTATGTGTGGCCAGGAATCTGACAGGGAATATGGATGACATGCAAAGAGAAGGGCTTGTTGACGATGGTTTTACCCCCCAGAATCCTTTGGAGCAATCTGTACAACACCACAGTACACATCAAGGGAGGGTCACAGGCATGGTTAGAGATGAACAGAGTCGTCGGCATGGGAGAAGTCGAGATGGAAGTCCAACTGACCATGTCAGGAGAACAAGGCTAGGCAGGGATAGGTCAATGGATAGAACAAGAAGAGGAAGACACTCACACCAGGAAAGGAGAAGGAGCAGAAGCAGGGGACGAAGCTCACGCCGAAGCAGAAGCAGGGAGAGAAGATCATGTGTGGGAAGGCGGAGCAGAAGCCGAAGCAGGGAGAAGCGATCACGTGTGGGAAGGAGAGGCAGAAGCAGGAGCAGGGGGAGGCGATCACGTGTGGAGGAGGGCAGGAGAAGAAGCAAAGACAGGAGCCCACATCACGAAAATTGCCGGAACTCGGATGTGAGCAGAAGCAGCAGGAATGAAAGAGAGATCAGCATAAGGGAGAGGTCTCTCTCAAGCTCACGCTCTCGCTCTCCCAGGTATGACAACAACGACAACCCTGTCTCCAGTAACAAGAATGATCCCTGGAAGGAGAGTAGGCAACTCCATGAGGGTAAGCACCAGACTTGTCACACAGGTTGGATGAAGTGGCCGAGTCTTCCTGAGGATGGCACTTCCTGACCATTGGCAATTTGCCAGACCATGACTGGTTGAAGATCTAAAGACTGCTAGCAACTTTTGGCATTGCGCATTTTGAAGCCTGTGTCAGATCGCAGCTCAGTTCTGTTAAGCTGAATGCGACTGAATTTCTGAGTTTTTAACTAAAAGCTTGTAACATTGTAATTTCTAAGAGCCAAGTTCTGTGTCAAGAGTAACGACTTCAGAATTCCCTTGCACTAGAAATTACGAAACACCAACTCTTCTGTATCCCTGTACCATGATCAATATTTTTTTTATTTTCTTACTTCAAATAATAACCCGGTTTAGTCACTGGACAGAAACCAAAGAGGTCAACAAACCATATAACCAGGCGCAACTCTATAAGGCATAAGCAAAAACTCCAGGAAGGTTACAGATCCTTGATTAATGGTGTATCACTTATGTTATTTATAATACCGTGTGCTGAAAGCAAAACGTGTGCGAACTGGGAAAGAGGAGATGGCAACGAAGGTTATATGTTTCTAGACAGGTGATGTCAGACCCACAAGATCAAACGAGAAAAAGCTCCACAACGGCATTTTCGCGCACATGCTCCCATCACCAAGGCGGTTACTCCATACTCTACTCTCTTCTCTTCTTCTTCTTCTTTTCGTTCTCCTTCTCCATCGAGTTCTTCAGCTGCAAGACAAAGCATCAAGTTAGTCAAATCCTCCACCAAAGAGATTAACAAGCCTCGGTGTATGAAGATATGAAAGATTTAACACCAAGACAAGACCAGAAACTCACCATGATTATGAGAATCCGGACAAAGATACTGACGAAGTCGGTAAACAGCTCAAGAGCGTGTTTCACGTAATCCAGATCACCAACATGAGCTCTCTCAATGATGTTCTGTGTGTCAACTACGACATAGCCGACAAACAACAGTAGCCCAAAGTACAGCTGGCACGTTTGAGAAGCTCGTTAGCTAACAGTACATGTAAGGGATGAAATGGAGAAGTATTGCAGGAGGTAGAATGAATTCACCAACCTCAAACTTGAAGACGGATGCAGAGCCTCCAAAGATGGAGGATGCAAACTGCAGCCAGAAAAGAATAGAAAGGCCAGAGGAGAGCAACCCAGCAAGGTAGAGATACTCTCTACGCTTTGCCACCATGGCAGCTGCGGAGAAGCAACCAAACGAGATGGCTGTCCCCACAAAGGCTGTGATGATGAGACTGCGAGAACACGAAGTTCAAATTCCATAATAAATTAGCTTGCACCAATAGTAAACAGTGAAAAAAAGCAACAAAATGGAGTTCTCGAGTAATCGCATTGATGAGAAGCAGACTCGGAACGACTCAAAGAAGAAAAGTCAAGAAAAATGGCAATGCAGGAGGCCAACAGAAGATTGAATATCATATCAATGAAAGCAGATGAAGAACTTAACTCTGATCTCATAACATATTACCAGATTTCCAGTTCCATGTTAGTTTTAACTCTTGAGAGCAGACAGAAGCTCTCTGATAATCACACTGGCTAAAATAAACCAACTTAAGCTACAGAGGCTCTTAAATCTGGCACCACCAATGGGAATCCAAAACACTTCTATGGGAACGAAAATATTAACTCTGGTCTCATACCTTGAATCAATATCAATAGCTAGCTCAATCAGAGGACCAATAGAAGCCCCCTGAAGTACACTAGCTGTCATCAAAAGGGACACCCTCTTTTGCTGTTCAATAAACAAGAAGTCAAAGGATTAGCAAAAATCAATTGAGGAAACACACCAGCATAAATTAAATAAGTGGATTTCCAGGCAGCTAACTTCGCTATACCTCTTGATATGAAGGCGTAGACATCAGCCAGGCCATAGATCCCAAGCAAGCGAAAGTCGTCAAAAGACCTCCGATGTTCCATAGGATATGCAAGTAGGACCCTATCCCGCATGCAATCAGTGCACAGCACAGTGTCAGATAGACCTGCAATCAAGAACGAAATCAGGAGTACTTCCAGCATCCAAAACCTGAATACGGTCATAGCAGTGTACAATAATTCAATTCAAGATGATCAACGACATCACAGAACATCATAAATAGGTTTTGATCAGCTGCTTAATTGCTGCTACAACAGAACCGAAACCGAAAAAGCCACAACCAAGCTATATAGCACGATCTATATGGCGAACTAATTCTTCCTTCCAGCGTGCATCTAAATCCTAAAACAAATTGGCCAAGTTACTCCAGGAGAGCACCGCAGAAGCTTGTCATTCCTTTCCAAATGATCAACGCATCATGCAGGACGATAACAGAATATTACAGGCTGCATAGTTCCAGTGACTAAACCAAATAGGATCCAAGCCGGAAATTTCGAGCCACAATAAGGACAAAGCATAAGCTACGGGAAGAACTTGCAATCCAACGCCTCGGTGACCATTTCTCGAAGATCGAATGATCGATTTTCAATCCACATATATAGAAAGGACGAAACGAACGAAGAATCCAAATCACTAATCCAGGAAAAGCTCAAATCCTAGATATAACTCCAACAACCGGCGATTGACTATCTAAGCAAAACCAAAAAATCCTTCCAGAATGCAATTCATACTATCCGCGCCAGCGCACGATGGGAGACTCCATCAAATGATCAAATTACTACCGCAAACAAGAAAGGCCTAATAACAGTACGTATTATCGACGGGGGAGTAGCAAGAAATACCTGCTTGAGATGAGCCTGGACGACGGGAGAGATCTGGTGGAAGTTCTTGAGCGAGTCGTAGCTCCAGCGACTCCTCGAAGTGGATTGAGAGCCGAAGAATGCGTCCATGGCGGAGATCTTTCTGCTTTGGTTACGACTGCTGATCGCGGAGAAGGAAGGAACTAGCGGAGGAAGAAGAAATGGATTCGTTCGATCTTTCGTTATCAGAGAGGAATTTGATCCTTCTTTTTTTTCTCGAAGGCGCGGTTCGATGCCGAAGGGAGGAGTTAACCCGGGGTTTTTTATAGCATCTTCTCGTTTCTTTGCCAAAGAACCTTCCAGGGAGGAGGGAGGTTCGGGATTTCCGAATATGCCCATGCTTTTTCCTCTCTTTTACGGCCCAACCTTTGGTTTTATGGGAATTTAGGCTGTCAAGAAGGGCAATCTAGAAGTTTCGATCTTGACAATGCTTTCCCTCCAAGTAAAAAGGCTAAAACCCGTTTGGAGTACACAGTAAACCGTTGCTAACTATGCCGTTTGCCACGAAAGCTACGTAAGGCATTCAATGAAAGGTTGCCATGTCAGCTTGTAGAAAGTACACGAATTGTTTTTTTCCTTTCTAATACCCTATTTCGATTTGAAATTTAGCTTAAATGATAGTTTTGACCTAAACTTTCAAGTAAGACAGTTATGGCCAACTTTGAAAATAATGCATAGGATTAGCCCACAAGTTACATTGACTATCAATTTTAACTGTCAAACGTTTATTCCATTTGTGACTCAACATTCAATGTTACAGTGGCGTCCACGTCATTTATTATTTTAAAAATAGGATAAATTGAAACTAGGTTTACTAAAAATGTTCACGTTTAGTCACTATCAATGGATGAGATAGCGCCCAATTACTTTGTTTTGTTTTTTTATCCTATGCTTTTCCTAATGTCTCTCTCCTCTCTCTCTCTAACGGTAACGTTCTCTGAACCAAAAAACGGTTCCTTTTCCGTCCCCCTTTCTGGGACTGTTCCAGCTCTTGCAGAGACTCTCTTGGTGATCAATTTACCCATCAATACTCTTCCCCAACCATCTGTTTCTCAAAAAGATGGCAGTATAACCATATATCCAGAGGCAGGGAAGATTCCCGCAGTGATTAGACTAAAAGGAGAAGCAAGCAGAGATGGTATAAAGAAGAGGGAGATTTGGAAACCTCCAGATGACGGCAATAAATGGAAAAGGACAACAATTTGGGCTCTAACAGTGAGCGTACAAGAGTATCACACATCTGTATGCAAAGATCTTTATCGGTATAGTGTCAATCTAGAGGGGGAAAGAGACTGCTATGCTCCAGTAGCAAAGAAGCGGGTAGAGACTAGACAACACAGGGGATACTCTGTTGTTGATTCTGAGAAAGGGGCTGTCTGGAAACCACCAAAATGGTGGTGGATTTGGTTCTCCTGTCAGAAGAAGAAGAAGAATAGAAGAGTAGAAGAAGGAAGAGGGCCTAAAAAGCTGATCTATAAGCAAGACTATACTGTTCGAGTACAGAGGAGGAAGCCCATTGAGCCAAGAGCCCCTGTCAAAAGAAGGAGAAAACAGAGCAGAATTAATCTCAGTCAGCAGAAGAATAATGAAGGCTTGGAAAGGAAGGGTACCTACCACCATCAAGAGGGGAGCGAGAATCAAATACCTAGCAAAGTCCATAAAGAGGGGAGAACAGGAAGAGGAAGACAGAGTGCTCTCAAAAAGAAAGAGAATTGCTGCCTTCTTGCTCTTCTCGCTACCTCTGGCAAAAACACAAACCTGTTCAAACTGAAAAACCAATATGTGTGGATAATGGATACCAACAACATTGCCCGAAATGAGCAGAGGAACGCCGGTGGAATCATGGCATCGGCATCAAGAGGAAGAGGTGGGCGCCCAAATCTGACTACAACAGGGGGCCGAGGAATTTCTATGCTGCTGGGGAGGATGCTGACTGAGAACAAGGTAGCTTTGGCCAAAGCTGTAGGAGCTGCCCGCTATGCCTGGGGTGGATATGGAGAGGTGAACGTTCAACCAACTAACACCCAAAACCTCTTCATATTCACCTTTAGCAACGCTGAAGTCAGAGAAAGGATCTGGAGAGAAAGACCATGGAGCTTATCAAACACCCAGACAGCAATCGAAAAATACAGTGGAAGAGGGACGCCAGAAGATTTACCGATGGAGAAGCTCGCAGTTTGGGTGCAAATCCATGGTATGCACCAGAATCAAAGGAATGAAAACAACATGGTGGCCATAGGAACCCACTACTTTGCAAGCTTCCTCGACCTTGACAGAGCAAGCCTGGAATTCACCGGCTATAGAAGATTCTTGAGGTTACTGGTGGAGGTGGATCTCAATGAGCCGATTCCGACAGGAATCGACTTTCCATTCACAGATGAAGCAACCGGGGTGGACTATTGTGAGGTAATCGACTTCAAATACGAAAGGTTACTTGAACTGTGCTACTTTTGCGGACGAATCGGCCACAACTGGCCAACCTGTTGGAGGATGGACGAGGAGAGGAGGAGGAATGGGGTAGCGCATCTGTCGGAGGTGTATAATTCATCTCTCAAGGCGGGTATTGATTCTCCCCATAGGATGGGCAACGCGAGAAACAGTAGAGAGGGGGAGAGGTCGCGTAGCTCGACGGGGGGAAGGGACAGAGCAGGATCGAGCAATTGGGACCAGAGGAGGGAGGAAAGTGCCGGAATACTGGCTCTGGGAGAAGGCAATCAATCGGCTGGGAACCCCCAAGTTCCCCCTGGGTTCACAGTCAGAAGAGAAGAGGATCAAGGGAATCAGGGGAGGCTGAGAGGGAGGTATAGGGAAGAAATGGGAGGCAGGGATCTCAGTCTTGAGATGGAAAGAACAGCAGAGGCAATGGAGGGAGGTCTGCGTTTGGAAGAGGAAGGGAGGCTGGGCGGCGGCGCCGATCAGGAGGAAGAGGAAGTTGAAACGGGCCTAACCCTTGGGCTGAGGAAGCAAGGGAGAGCAGCGGGCTTTGAGGGAGGCCCAACCGAAGTCTCCCTTTACCAACATGATCAGCGGGCTTTTGAAGAGGAGATGGGCCGGAAGTTGAAAAAAAGGAAAGGGATGGGCCGAGTTAATAATGAAGGGCCCAGTGGTGAGTTGGGGGAGGGAGCAGACACCCTCTTGGGCCCAAATGAGGCTATTTTCATGGAAGGGCTTGGGGGGAAGAACAAAAAAAAAGAAAAATCAGAGGTTTAAGCCTCATTCCAGCAGCAAATCAAGGGAGAACTACTCGGATGGGGAGCAAGGAAGGGATACGAGGGCAGCGGTGGTTCGCCAGAAGCCACCTCTTCAGGAATGAGTATTGTAAGTTGGAATTGTAGGGGATTTGGCCCACCCCTTACAAGAAGTTATGCAAAGCGTTTGTGTCGACGCTTAGGCCCTTCTATTGTTTTTCTTATGGAGACTAGCAAGAACGAGGCCTTCATGGAAGATCAAAGAAGAAGTCTCAAAATTTTCCCCAATAGAGAGTATGTTGAACCGGTTAACTCTTCTAGGGGGTTTGCTTTGTGGTGGAAAGCGGGTATTAGTATTAGTGTGTTAAGTAGTGATAACTATTATATGGATGTTAGTATAGATATGGGTAGGAAATTTTTCTGTACTTTTGTTCATGCACCCTCTACAGCTGTTAGTAGAAGGGAATTTTGGGAGCACCTGAGCTCTCTGCGGAGTAGTAGGGATGATAGCTGGGTTATTGTAGGGGATTTCAATGCTGCGGTGTATGAGAATGAAAAGGAAGGGAGATGCCCTCTTAGGTACGAGAATGTTGAACCTTTTAAGAGGTTCATATTCCAAAATGCTCTAATTGACCTGGGATACAAAGGGGAACCTTTCACTTGGACCAATAAGAGAACGGGCCAAAACCTGACTAGAGTGAGATTAGATCGTGTGCTCTGCTCAACGTCCTGGCGTGCCCAATTTGGAGAAGCAGTGGTCTTCCATGAGAAAATGGTGGAGTCTGATCACTGCCCGATCAGACTTGAGCTTCACTACCGAGGTAACAGGAGGAAGAAGACACCATTTAGGATTGATGAGCGATGGCTGGAGAAGGAAGAATGTAAGGAGATAATAGCCCGAGCGTGCGACCCGGGAGGCCAATCAACGGACCAGTTGAACAAATGTCAAAGAGATTTAAAAGAGTGGGCGAAAGACTTCCATAAGAGTAGTATGCAAAGGGAGCAAGATATACTTTCAAAGCTCGAAATGCTACAACAGCCGCCAAGAACGACTGAGAATGTGGAGGAGGAAAAGATGTTGACTATCGAGCTGACCAAGTTATGGAGGGACGAAGAAGCATTCTGGAGTCAATGCTCGAGAGTTAACTGGCTCCAAAAAGGTGATCAAAATACCTCTTTCTTTCATTCAAGCACTATCCATAGGAAGCATAGGAACAAAATTCTGAAACTCCAAGATGGAGAAGGAAATTGGATAGAGGATGAGAATAGTCTCAAAAGACTTGCAGAAGGGTTTTACAAAGAACTTTTTAAGGCCAGGAATCCTATTCCTTTTAACCATTTGTTAGAAGACTTCCCTGAAAAGGTGACTACGGAGATGAACGAGGATCTTTGTGCTACGGTGACTGACGGGGAAATTAGAAAAGCTGTTTTCTCCCTGGGAGCTCGCAAAGCTCCGGGTCCTGATGGTTTCTCAGGAAGATTTTATAGGAGATACTGGGATATCTTAGGAGACACCTTATGTCGAGAAGTTAGAGGATTCTTTGAAACGACTACCATGCCAACTGGATGGAATGAGACTCACATCGCAATGATTCCAAAGGTCGACAACCCTGAGTTGATAAGCCAATACCGACCTATTAGCTGCTGTAATTTTAGATACAAGATCATATCTAAGATTATGGCAACGCGTCTCAAGAGGTGGACCCCCGATCTGGTTTCAGAGCTCCAAACAGCTTTCACCGGGGGAAGGCTTATTCAAGATAATATCATCATTGTCCATGAAGCCCTTCATCATTTCAAGAACCACAAGCGGGGTCGAAGGAGAGATATGATGCTGAAACTGGATATGAAGAAGGCCTACGATATGGTTGATTGGGAGTGCCTGGAGGCTCTTCTCAAGAAATATGGGTTTGACAATAAATGGTGTGGTTGGGTCAGTGCATGCATTAGAACGGTCAGCTTCTCCATTCTGTTCAATGGAGAAGCAACTGACTCGTTTAAACCTTCCCGGGGCATTAGACAAGGAGACCCACTTTCACCTTTCTTATTCATTCTCATGTCAAATGCCCTCACCTTCCTGATTGACAAGGCGGTGGAGAATGATAAGCTGAAGGGGATTAAACTGAATCACAGATGTCCAGTGCTCACTC